TATATATACAGCATAGAGCTCCTGAATGATGAACTGATGTGATGATGACTCTCGCTGCTCTCCTCCTGCAGAATGGGGAGTAGATGTGGACTCTTATGTGGTTCACACAAACTACAACGAGTACGCCATTGTTATCCTGAGCAAGCAGAAGTCGACAGGTGAAAAGAGCACCTCAGTTAAGCTTTACAGTGAGTATCAACTTCTTTAACGGAACAGAACTTCAAGAGGTTTTTTGTGTTTTCATTTTTTAGGTTATTTAACAAATACAATAAAATGGAAATCACCTTCTGACCCACTTTGATTCTTTTCTTACCATTGATATTATGCATTGAGAAAAGCACTGAAAGAAATATAATGCATAACCTCCTGAGACGTTGAGGACTGGATTTAGTCTCCTTATTCAGTGGGGATGACAACAAAACCCTGATGGTATTTCTAGTTGAGGAGGACTGCAAGTGAAGTGATGAGTGGTGAGGATTAATGAGCCAATGAGACCAAAGAACATAAAACAAATGTGACACAACGYGACAACTAAAATCATATGAGCAAAAATAAATGACAAAATCAAAAAGAAGCCAGAAACCCACAAACCTAAACACTGATTAATGGCTGTTAAAGTCCTTTTTTTAAAATCTGAACATCTCGCTGTCCAATATGTTTCATTTGCATTAAAAATCTCTGCAGGTCGAAGCATGACTGTGAGACCCACGATTCTGAATGACTTTAAAACTCTGGCCAAACAACAAGGGCTGAGTGAAAACAACATCATCATTAAGAAGAACAAAGGTACAAATCTATTAAAACATGCACAAAGTAAAACAAATGGATGAGCTTGAGAGGAAATGTTTTTTTGTACCACGCAGGTGACTGTGTTCCTGGACAGCAGGTTGCAGCACCAGTGACTCAACCTGAAACTCAGGTAGAAATAAAACCTGATAAAACAAATCATTTACTGACAGCAGTTTCCTTATATCACTTCAGTCGCACAGATTTTATTTTTTTATTTGACTTGGTTTGGTTAAAATTTAAAATCTTATTAAACAGCATGGGATAAATTTCCATTGTTATGCTGATGATACTAAGTTATATTTATCTATGATTTAAATCCAATCAGCTTGTGAAAGATCCATTAAATGATGAATACTGGGAGGGGAAGTGAGCATCCATCATCTTTTTCTGTTGGCAAGTTTCACCGATAGTTTCTGTTGTGTTTTGCTGTTTTTATAAAAGCGAGTGAGAAGAAGCGTGGTGGCCACTCTGAATCCTCTCGACGTCGAAGGCTCTGGGTTTGACACACCTTTGTTCAACGGAACCGGTACCAGATCAGCTCCATCAGAAACACTTAGTAAAATACATTTAAATGACTGCACGCTAAAAAAAGAAAAAAAAAGAAACTAGAAATCCTCTGACCTGTCCTCACAGAGGCGTGTAGCGCAGATCCGGACTCAGGGCCGTGCTTCGGCCTGCACGAAAACTACTTCTACAACTCTTCCTCCATGAGCTGTGAGCTCTTCCAGTACGGAGGCTGTATGGGGAACCAGAACAACTTCCAAACGGAGAGAGAGTGTCTGCAGAGGTGTCGTACGGAGGGTGAGGAGCCAGTTCAAGCTTTGGGAGCATTTTTAAAATCAACAGTTTGTTCGTTTTCCGTCACCGTGTGTTTGATCTGTGCGCCTCTGCAGCTGTGTGTCGTCTCCCCATGGCCGCCCAGCCCTGCACAGGCCAACCGAGCATCTGGGCTTTCGACGCCACCACTGGTCTATGCATGGCCTACAAACCAGGCTTCTGCCAGACCAACGCCAACAAGTTCTACACCAAGGCCGAGTGCGAGGAGTACTGCGGCATGATCAAAGGCGGTGAGACGATGAGGGAAAAGTCTTTTATATCATGTTTATTGCATGAAACCATCATGACGTTGATGTATTTTTGCTATTTTGCAGATGATCTCCTGATATCGAACTGAGCAGAGAGCGAATGACGTCAACCTGTTCACAAACGTGAAGACGTGTCGTACAAGAGACGCAATAATAAAATCAGATGTAACAGATCATCAGGACAAACCATCAATAAACGTGTCAATAATGTGTCTTGTTTATCAGTGATGCTTCTGATGAGTGATGGGATAAAAGGCTCTTTGAAGGGACTCGAATCTCGAGGAGCCGTTTGCTTCGTAGAGCCGTTCGATTTTTGAACGAGTTACATCATCACGTAGGGAAATACGTCATCACATCACGTTCAGGGCACCATGGGTTTTGTCAAGCAGAAATCCCCCTCTCCCTTTCCCCGTGAGCTTCTGTACTCCACTGCTCTGCCTGTTTTCCATGAAAAAGCAAAGCGGGAGCGATTTAGGGGTGAAAAAAAATAAAGATTATATGAGGAATAACTCTGCTCATATTGTTCGTTGTAAAGAGCCGTTCAAAAGGTTCTGATACYTCTGACTGCAGCATTCCACAGGTTTCCACGTTTCTCTGTTTATTTCCATATTAATTCATTAAATTCAGAGGTTGGCAGTAATAAAGTWAATTTACTATTTAAATTTACAGTTTTTGAGAATTGTACTTTACGTATGTAGCATTTTCTTTTACTTTTTACATTTACTCCACTATATTTCTCTAAAGCAGAGGTGCCCAAAGTGGGGCCCGCGGGCCAAAACTGGCCTGCAAAGTCATTTGATTTGGCCCACCAGCAGTTGATCTGGTTATTAGATTGTAATCTTCTGTCCTCCTATGTAGAAACACTATATATCCAGTTTTCAACCATTGGTCCAACTATAGTACAAGGAGCTGAAGTCAGATAGCAGTGGTGGGCAGCACTAATCTAAAAATTAGCCCTAAAACACTAACTCAAATATTTAGGTCCCCTAATTATAAAGCACTAACACAATGAAAATTTAGTGAAAGCTAATTCTAAAGCACTAAAATAACCCAATCAACCCTTGAACATTCTTCAACAGACAACATGAGTCACATATTGACGTGTTGCTCTATTAATACTTATCATTGACATTCTATAGTATTTGGGTTCGTATATTGTCACCTGGTGGACAGGACACATATATGAACAAAATATGTCACAGTTTTCACCCTCAGTTGTCAAAGTTGATCAATAACATTTATAGACTTCAGTTAGTGCTTCTAAATTTAGCCTGTAAATTTAGAAAGTTAGCACCTGCTTTAATCCACTAACAACTTTTAAAATAAGCAAAAGCTCTAACGCACTGATCTGGAAATTAGATCCGCTATTAGTGCATTAGGGGAACTGTGCCCACCACTGTCAAACAGTCTTAACTCACTTTATCTTTGAATTATGTTGAAATTAAATATAAAGTATGAGTAACCACATGAGACATTTAGATTAGATTTAAGCTCACATCTAGATTTGCACACCTTATACTCATATCACTCTTATACCACATACTCAAATTTTAATTTATGAAAAGTCCCATGAGCCTTTGCTGCCGGAGCGTATGTTGAATTTTCTCCATGTCCATGGGATGAAAAAAAAAGAATGCGGGCAACTGCACTGGCTGCTAGCTTATTCATAAAAACAAAACAACTTTACTTAACTTTATTTGCATATCATGTATTATATTACTGCGTTTGGCCCACGGCCCTCAGATTGATTTTATTTTTGGCCCTCTCAAGGAAAATGTTTGGGCACCCCTACTCTAAAGGCTTTAGAGTTATTATTTTTTGTCGTGTTTGTGTAGTTTACATATTTTTGTTCCACCAACACTAAAGTTGTACACTGCCCCTCTATACAGTATGTAGTGATGAGCAACTTTAAATGGTTGTGAGGGTAATAACAATAATTTTGTCCTACATGTACACAGGTATACTAGACATATTTATATTTTGTTTAGATCCTGATAAGTACTGATTTTATATTAATTTTAATATTAACATTTCAAATAAAACAAAATTAAATTAGATTCAGAGCTTCTTAATTAGTCACTTTCTCATTTTTCAGCCTTCAGCTTCTCATTAACGGACAAAACCAGGAGGGGGCGATGGTATTCCATGTAACGATGAGCTTCATTGTTTTCCTCTCAGGTTGATAATCCACCAGTGTGACTTTAGTCAGCAAATGATGAGTCACTCAGAGCTGAGAAATGACCACACATCACCAGTGCATGCCCTCTCTCTCCAGCACAGGAGCCAGGCTTCCTGCTCCCCGTTCCCAGAGTTCCCGGCTGCTGGCAGTAGAATGCTGGGAATATCCGGAAAGGAAAAGGAAGTGACATCATAGCGCTGACCTTCCGTACCAGGCCGGTTCACCTGGTGCAGCCTGCATGAGAGCTACCAAACAAGCACGCACACACACACACACACACACACACACACACACACAC